TCCTTTCATGAGGAAATACTTCCAGATCAGGCGTTTTGTCATGCAGAAAGGGGGACCGAAGGGTCTCAAGCCTAAGTCCACAGGCCCAGGAACGTTGGGAGTTAAGTTTTCCTTGGGGAGGGAGGAGCCCTGCGGCCCAGCACACAGCCTGGCTACAAGGGCATGGTGTGACCCTGGGGACTCAATGTCCAGGCCACTTCACCACGCAGCGCGCAGCAGCTGAATCGTGGCCATTGGGTCCGGGTCAAGACTGATGGCTCCCCTTAGGCCTGGCTTCCCCCTCTCAAGGCCTCCTCCTAGGTCCCCGTTCAAACCACCTTTGTATCCACAACCATGCAGATTTTTAACAATTCACTATGTTTTTACTGTTTCATGTCTGGCATTAATAAAAGTCTTATAAGGAGAGGAATCGTGACCTAAGTGCCCTCTTATTTAAGTGATGACATCTGAAAAACTACGGGACACGTTTTGAAACCTGAATAAGTGGAAATAGACTTCATTGCCATTTTCAAATACAACAGACTTAACCTGACTCAACATGGAATGACCTACATCCATGTTACTTCGCTGCAAACAGTGGAGCAAGTGGCTGTAAGAAGTACTGCTTCTGCTCAGCCAAACCACATCCTTGACATCTGGGTCAGCAGCTAGCTTCGATAATTGGCAGTAAAATTACTGGCTCTGCCAGATACCACGTATAACACAACCTTTGTCATTACTGACACTAAAAAGCAACAGCGCCCAGCTTGCTTCTCCCCAGAGGGGGTCTCTTGTGCCACCACCTCCCTTCTCCCTATGGCTGAGACTCCCAGTTGCCCTGGATGCCAGGTCAGCAGCATCTCTAGGCCACGATGTGAGGCAGAGACAACCAGAATAGCAGGGGCTCAGGTCTGGGGGAAACAGGCCAAAAGCAGAGACCCTACAGCCAACGGGAGTCCTGGTGCTGAGAGAAAGGAGGAGAAGCCACGTGAAATTCCTCACCCTGCTCAAGTACGAGGCTGATTACCATGAACGCTTTTTCCTGACACACACTCCAGGCTGAGCCCTTGACCTAAAGGAGAGTAGGTCGGCCCACAAGGCTAACCTCAGAAGCAGGGGCCGGGAAACCTGACCTAAAGGTCTCTGAGCCCCAGGCCCCTCATGCTCTGGCCCCTTTACTTCACCAGACAGCTCCCTAAGTTTCCAGCTTTCTACTTCTTTATTTTCCTTGATCTTAAATTGCATTTATTGTTATCATTTCCTTATTTTAATTGTCATTTGTTTTTATAAATTTAGTTTTTATTTTCTGCAACTGAGAGAGAGTGGCAGTGGTGCAGGCTGGAGCAGGGGCCCCGATGGGAGACAGCAGAGCTGAGATGCAGACACCCCGCCACGGGCACTTCACTGATGGCAGAGGGGGGCTAGAGAGCCTCGGGGACAATCAAGGCTGCCAGGTCACTGGAGCCCCACGAGGATGATAACGAACCTGACCCCACTCTGCCGCCACGTACAGACATCGGTTCCTGGGGGAGCTCCATGTGGAAGGCACAACAATCCATGGGACGCGTCCCCTCTGCCTTATCAGAGCCATTTGGCTTCCATCCAGCACTGTTGTTTTGGTCTTTGTTTCATGGTCAAAACCTCCATTTCAGTGAGTTTTATCTTTTGTTTACCTTTGTATAAACAAATGCATCCTACCTGTTTTACATCTGTCTTGAAATTTTAAATCATTTCCATGTTTTTGTTCTTCAACGTGAGACTTTTAATTCACTTTCATACTCTATGGCGGTAGAAGTCAGAATAGTGGTTTACCTCTATCAGGAAGAGGCAGGAAATAAAAAGTCTATTTGTAAATTATACTGTATCATAGAAGGTGATGAGTGGTATGGAAAAGAACAGCAGGAAGAGGATTGGCTGTGCACTGGGCTGTTGGTGGCCACAGGAAGAAGCAGAGTGAGAAGATGAGATCTGGGCAGACTCGAAGGAGATGAGAGAGTCAGCCAGGTGCTGTATTTGAGAGCACATTCAAGGCAGGGAGAACAGACTGTGCAAAAGCCCCAAGTCAGTAGAAAACCTGTAATATTGAGGGCACAGGCAAGAGGCCAGCGTGGCTGGTGTGGAGTGAGCAAGAGAGAGCAGAGGAGGTAAGAGAGGCAATGGGGGATTCACAGATTAGAATGTGGGGACTTGCTGGCCATTACAAGGACCTCTGGCTTATATTCTGCATGAGAATGGAGCCTGTGAAGGGAATTAGGCAGGGGAGACATGATCTGACATATTCTGAAAGGCAGTATCACTGTAGCCACCAGAGCTGCTGCGTGCTGGCAGGGGAGATGCTCCATCATCACCGTCTTCGCCATGCCCACCGCCACCATCCCCAGCACCAGCATCTCCCTCCCTCCAGCCCACACTGCCAGAGCTCTCTGGGTTCTGTGCCAGCAGACTCCGTTCACGCACATGCAGGAACAGGGACCGGATCTCCCCCGCACTGGCTTGAAAGAATCCCCTAAATGCAGCCAAAATATATGAAACACAGGCTGTGAAGAAACTGGGCCTCAGGTGAGGGAGGACCGTCAGGGATCTCTGGGAGCTGAGACCCCGAAGAGGTGAGCCGTGCAGCTGCCCCAGCTTGCTGTCTACACGAACTGTCCGGACCGATTCCAGCCGCCTCCCCGGGTCTCGGGGGTGGATCGCAGAGCGCACGCAGCTGGAGTTGGCGGGCGGAGGACCGGAGGGGACACAGTGGCACAGGGAGAGAACCGTGCCCAAGGGCGGAGGGTCTGCTAGTGGAAACTCCGAATTCGGGTGACATCATATACAGTACTCAGAGGGATCTTGTCTCAATAGTGTGGAGAACTAAAAGCTGCTCTGCTCCCACCGATAAAGTCTCAAGGCAGGACTCCAAAGGCTCAAACTGTCTCCAAGTAAGTTAACAATATGAGAGTTTTTGAAGTTCTGGAATATACTTAGGAAAAAAAATACCCAGCACCCAAGGAAAAGGGTATGCTAAGCTTCAGAAGAATCCAACCCATTATGAGGAGACAGATCAATTGATAAAAGACATCCCAATTGGAAAGGAAGAAGTAAAACTATGTGCAGACAACATGACTGTCTATGTAGAAAACCGAATGCAATGGACAAGAGTGAGGAGAACTAGTCAGTGAGTTCAGCAAGATCACAGGATAAAAGATGTGGGAGGGAGCGAACTCCGCCGGCCCGAGCGCTCACCACACTGTGCTTGTCCCAGCGCTTTTCTGCACTGATCTGAAACAAGCCCAGTCAGCCACAACATTGTTATTGCACTGGGCCTAGGGTTTTGCTCTTCTTGTGCAAACTAAGTTTTTAATTTTAGTAGGAAACCAAGCCAATTGTGACAAGGATGTTGGGAAACCAGAAATCTGGTAGTAGGTGTATTTTCTGAAGAGAAATTGTGATAGAGTCTTTTTTCTGTTTTTTAAGACAGTCTGTTTCCTCTCTCTCTCTCTCTCTCTCTCTCTCTCTTTATTTTCCATGCTGTGTGGCTTACAGGATCTTAGTTCCCCAACCAGGGATCGAACCCGTGCCCCCTGCAGTGGAAGCATGGAGTCCTAACCACTGGACTGCCAGGGAATTCCCTGTGATCAAGAGTCTCAAAAAAGAAATAGAAAAGTATTTCTAACTTTTGGAATATACTTTAAGGAAATAACCATTCATGGAAAGAATTATATACATGAATTCCATTGAATCGTTAACCATAGTAATGAAAAAATTGAAAACAACTTAAATGTTCAATGATTACATTATGATGCATCTTATATACCTCCACTCAATAACATATTTTTGAAGAGTTTTTAGAAGGTGGAAAAGCTAGTATGTTAAATGAAAAAAGTCAGGAAAAAATTTAATGCTAAACTTGATAACTTCTACATTGCATACCGTTATACATTTACTGTGCAAGTACAACTAAAAAAATAGTTCTAAAATGTTGACAGTATTTAGTGCTGAACATCGGGCTTGATTTTCATTTTCCTAAACTGTCTTCAATTACCTTGTACTACTGAAATATCTGAATTCCAGAACCTTCCCTCCAACACGAGGACAAAGATAAAAAATCCAGAAATGCATTAGCTGAAAAGAAACTGTGACACAAAACAGTGGCCTAGTTTTATTTTCTGCAGTAATACACATTGAAGCATCCCACTCCACGAGCCGCAGGGAAACAAGTGAACCAAGGGATACCAAGGGCCAGTACTGGCAAAAAATTAAACCCAAATAACAAAGTGGTGATTACTCAAGTTTGAATTCCCTAAGCCTTGCCTAGTAGGCGACACAAGGTTAGGCCTCAGCCCCCTTTCCTTCGCGTAGCCTTTAGGGAGGCGGGGGCCCAGGGCGCTGAATATTCTGAATCACCAGGGAAAGCTGATCGCGGAAGAAGCTGATGGAAATCCGGCAGAGAACAAGGTCTTCAGCAGTCCATGTACTACAAGTGAGGGAAAAGGAAAATCAGGTTAAAGGGGAGATCGCTCATGTAGGTCCAGGGCACCAGCCCCTAGGCCCCTCCTTATACCAAGCCCGTCAGCACCCCCATCACAGCACTCAAGACAGAGATCAGATCCCAGCACCTGCCACCGACCCCACCCCCACGGCAGACTCTTCTAGAACTCACATAGCTAGGGCACTGCCATTCACTCTAAGTTCCTCCCGAATCACGCCTTGGTCACGCTGGGCATCTGGGATCAGAGCTCTGTGGGCCACGTGTGCCTCCAGGGGGGATCGGAAAAGCACTATGAGCTTGCTGGGGGAGACGTGGTTAAGGCACCATCCGTCACTGAATTTGCTGGTATCTCGGGCTTGCCCACACCGCAGAGGCCCGTTTTTACTCCAGGATGAGACCGCCCGGAGCCGCCTCCCTAACCCTTTGGTCCTTCCCCACCCTCCAGGCTCCTCAGGCATTGACAATCCCCTTTCCTGCCAGGCTGCCCGCCCCTGCTGCCCCTGACTGCGCCCTGTGCTCCCCTCCGTCCCCTCCGCAGGCGGCCGCCATGTACCCTGCCACCGCACCGCTGCCCCAGCCCAGGGAGGCTCCACGGAAAGGATACAACACCAGCCGTCTGCTTCCAGGCCCTACAGCCACGAGCGCTGCATCTCCACCAGCGCTTAGGGCACGTGGTGCCCGCCCACCCTGGGGACCTGCAGCAGCTGCTCCCGTCGCTGCTCCTCCTCTGCTGGGCCCATGCCGGGCTTCTGGGTGCCGGGGACCACCCTCGCCTTCAGGGCTACCTGATCCACTCTGGCAACCAGGAGTTCCGGAGCTTTGCTGGCCAACTCGGCCCCCTGCACCTACCGCGCTGCCGTCCCCCGGGGCCTGCATGGCCACGGCGTGTCCCTCTAAGAGCCGACGAGAGCCTGAGCGCCTCACGAGGCCCCACCCCTTCTACCCAAGGACGCCCAGGGCGCCTGCACAGACACCCCTGAGCTCGCCTCCCGGCACCGGATTGGCTGCCGCCCTGCCCCCCACGGGCCGCCCCGAAGACCCCGTTGGGCTGCACAGACTCGGTTCCGTCGTGAAGCCCCGCTCCTTTCGCATGCCCTGGATGCGCCTGCACAGACCGGCCCCTCCTGTCCGGGGCCCGGCGGCGTGGAGCCGGCGCCGAGTGCCCACGGAGTCACCACCGAGACAGGAGCGACGCCTTTCCACTCCCAAGGCCTTGACCCGTCTCCCAAACCATCTGCTCCAGGCAATAAGGGCCACCCACCCACCCCCAAAGCCCTCCGACCCTCCCCCCAGTAAAGCCCAGAGTAAACCACAAACAGCAGGGGAAGTGTAGGACCTCCAAGCAGCGGGGTCTCTGCCGAGTGGGGAGGTCAGGGCTGGTGGGTGTGTTCACTGACCCCATCATGGAGGCGCCACCCGCATGACTTCGTCCAGACCCTAGTACCTCCCAAAGGCCCGCCTCCAAAGTCCATCCTGTGGGGGGGTTAGGGCTTCCATGGGTGAACCGGGGGAGGGGGAGAGGGAGGGGGAGGGGAGAGGGAGGGGGAGGGACTCGACGCTCAGGCCATAGGTCAGCGCTGCTCAGCTAACCTGGGCTAGGTTCCTGTGAGTATTCTTAGCGGGGGGCCACTGACTTACCTAACTGAACACAGAAACAGCAACTTTCCTGACGGAGAGATGATCCACCTCAGCTGTCCTGAGAGATGCGCCAGCCAAGGCCTCACAGGTCCCCCAGCTGCGGGGCGGGATGGAAACGGGGAAATGAAGATTCTGTGCTAGAACAGGGTTAACGCCAGTCAACCCCAAGCGCCCTAAGGACGTGCCTGGAATCAAAGGAGCTGTGGCGGTGACACCAGCTGTGGTGACGGATGCTGATTCTACTTTCTCTCCACCTCCTCTCGGGTGCCCCTCATCCTCCTCGTGCTCCCTGCTGTCCTTGCCAGTGATGTGGACCCTCCTGCTCCTGGGCCGGCCCGGCCCCTCGCGTCCCAGGGCCAGGAGGTGACACGAGCCGGTCTGGCTTCCTCTCGGCTGTTTCCAGGCCACTCCTCCACCTGCTGGGCTGGTTACCATCCTTCCGCAGCCCTGGCCTCGGCCCCAGAGGCTGACCCGAGGTGGACGCTCACTCAGCAGGCGCCCTCACCTGGGCAGCCAGTGCTGCACTGGTGAAGCTTTAACAAAGGCTCTCCAGACGCAGCAGGGGCCCTGCATCTGCTGATCTCCACGCTGTACCCACTCCCACCACAGCTGACTGACTGCAGGCCGCTGACACGACGTCACCGAGTGCCTGGCCGCAAAGAGATGCTCCCGCTTGGCTGTCGCCAGCAGGTCCAAGGTGGCCCAGCACACCCCCCAGGGCCGCACCGTGCGTCCCAGCACACACGGACACTCTGCTAGTACTCACATGGAAACCGTGTCGCTGTGACTCACAGGAAGGGCACCCAGAAGTGGACTTCTATCTTGCTTTGCCCCCTGCATCGCATGTGAGGGCAACTAGCTGGCCACGCCTGGACCTCGCCCAGGACGCTAGTTCCAAAGGGGGCTGGGGAAACGCAGCTCTTATTTCTCCAGTGTGTGCAGTAGAAGAGGCCTCACCGGACCAAGGTTGGAGTACATGGTGAGCGGCCAAGCCACGGAACCCACCAGAGTCCTCCCTCTGGCTACTCGACATCTAGACCAGGTCTAGATGTTTTTTTTTTTTCTGTTAGCTTGTTTATTTCTTTATTTATTTATTGGCTGCATTGGGTCTTCGTTGCTGCGCGTGGGCTCAGTAGTTGTGGTTCGTGGGCTCTAGCACGCAGGCTCAGTAGTTGTGGCGCATGGGCTTAGTTGCTCCGCGGCATGTGGGACTTAGTTGCAGCGTGCAGACTCCTTAGTTGTGGCACACGAACTCCTCAGTTGCGGCATGTGGGATCCAGTTCCCCGAACAGGGATAGAACTGCATTGGGAACTCGGAGTCTTACCCACTGGACCACCAGGGAAGTACCCCCAATCAGTTAGTTTTTGTTGTTTTTTTTTAAAATGTATTTATTTATTTATTTGGTTGTGCTGGGTCTTAGTTGTGGCTTGCGGGTTCCTTGGTTGCAGCAGGTGGGCTCCATAGTTGTGGCATGTGGGCTCCTTAGTTGTGGCAGGCAGGCTCCTTAGTTGCAGCTCACAGGCTTCTTAGTTGTGGCATGCGAACTGTTAGTTGTGGCACGCACATGGGATCTTGTTCCCTGACCAGGGATCGAACCCAGGCCCCCTGCATTGGGAGGATGGAGTCTTAACCACTGCATCACCAGGGAAGTCCTCCAATCAGTTTTATCAGTAATAAAGCTGGTATTTAGGTTGAAAAACGTGTCAAGGGAGATGTGTCAAAGGCTGCAGATGGTAAACTAGACCTATTTGAAAGGAGTGGAAAAGGACAGGTGGGAGGCGGGAGTGGATGGTGTCAGTGAACTCCTTGCAGAGGAAATGATTCACGTGGTCCAATTTGTAAAGCCACATACTTTTTTCAGGAGAAAGCAGAGGGTACAGAAGTGATTACAATTCAGGCCAGACTAACATATAAACACGAGGAAAGGAGAGCAGGCCATCTTCTCTGAATAATGGGCAGTAGGGAGCTGGACTAGGGAGGCCGAGCTGTGGTCTTGTACGAAAGCCAGGTGGGAATTAAAGCCTCACAGTCACTTACGGAAGACTCAATGAGCTCTGTGTCCCAGGTTCCCCTGTGGGAGTTGCAAAGGGGGAGCCGTGAGCAGACATTCTTACAGTTTTTTAGTTTTAGGTTTAGCAAAGAGGTTTGAATCATCATCACTGGGAAAAAAAAAACACATCAGTGCAGAATCGGACTCACACGGGTAGGTAGTGAGTAGGCGTGGACACTGGTTGGACATGTGCGGGAAAAGCCCAGCGAATGTACTGAGCAAGGGTCTAGCATGTTGGCTTCTGCTGTCATCCATATCACAAGAGGAAACTCATGAATTAACCAGACCCACCTGAGGGTCTGAAATAAGGTCAGAAGGAGGGTCAGTGGGACGTCTAGGGGACTCTGACTCCCGCCTCTGTGAAAAGTACCTGATGGACATCCTCATACATACCCATTAAGGGGACCAGTGGCAAGTTCCCAGGAGCAGAATTGCTGGGCTTTAGGGATGGGAAGACGTCATTGGATTCATTCGCGCCACGCTGCTCTCTGCTATGGCTGTACCCGTCTCCACTCCTACTATATCCTTGCGGCTTTTGGGGGTTTCCTTTTCTGTAACTAGCCTATTCATGTCCTTCCCTCATTTCCAAAAAAATTGGAATTGCTGTTATCTTCTTGATGACCAGCAGGATATTTAAAATATATATTCTTTTTTTTAAATTAATTAATTAATTTAGTTTTGGCTGCGTTGGGTCTTCGTTGCTGCGCACGGGCTTTCTCTAGTTGTGGCGAGCGGGGGCTACTCTTCATTGTGGTGCACGGACTTCTCATTGCGGTGGTTTCTCCTGTTGCAGAGCACGGGCTCTAGGCGCAAGGGCTTCAGTAGTTGTGGCTCGTGGGCTTCAGTAGTTGTGACACGCAGGCTCAGTAGTCGTGGCGCACGGGCTTAGTTGCTCCGCAGCACGTGGGATCTTCCCAGACCAGGGCTCGAACCCGTGTCCCCTGCATTGGCTGGCGGATTCTTAACCACTGTGCCACCAGGGAAGCCCCCCAAATTTCTTCTTAATACTTGCATCTTCGTTCCTTTGTGGTATCCTTTTCCTAATATATACTCATACTTCCTGGGCCTGGGTTTAATATTTCTGATCCTTCATCCTCATATATATCTGAGGATGTCAGATAACACCCAGTAACTGATACTGTGGGGCACCTTGGAAAGATTGAATATGGAATTATTTCTGTCCACTGTGGGAGGAGAAGGAGACAAAGCTGTAGATGCTGTGTTACAGGATGTCCAGTATCACATGCAATAGATGTATGTTTCTTTTCAAATGTATTGCAAATTGTTTGCCAAAAAGAATTACATCAATTCACACTGTCACCAATATAGTATACCCATTGACTACAACCTAGTCAGCACTGGCTGTTAATTTTAGTACATCTAATTTATTAGTTATAAATTGGTATTCACTTGCTATTTTAATTATCATTTTATAAGTAACTTGTGGGATTGAATATTTTGCCATATGTACTACTTTTCTTTCCTCTGCTAACAAATTTTCTATTTGTTTACTTTCCTAATTTTTGTCTATGTGTAATCTTGCTTTGTGATGGAAATCTTCAAACGTTAAATTTTTGTGACTAAAAAAAAAAATACTGGGTCTTCCAATCCATGAATGTGATACATTTCTCCATTACTATAGGTCTTAAGTTCTCTTATTAATAGGTTTTAGTTTTCACTGTAAATGTTTTACACGTATTTTATTAAATGCATCACTAAGTATTTCATGTTTTAGGATACTATTATAAATTATAGTGATTTTTAAATTTCACGTTTCTTTCTTTGTAGATTGCTTAGGATTTTCTACATACACAAACACTTCATCTCTGAATAAAGATAATTCTATTTTTTCCAATCTGTATAACTTCTATTTTTCTTTCTTGTCTAGTGCACTGCCTAGGATTTCCAGGACAATACTTAATAAAAGTGGTGAACATCCATGCCTTATTCTCAAATTCAGGGGTGGGGAATTATATTTTCCTCCATTATCATTTTAGCTGTAGGATTTTTGTAGATTGCCTTTATCAGATTAAGAAAGTTTCTTTCTAGTCCTAGTTTTCTGAGAGTTTTTATCATAGTGGTTGTTGAATGTTGTCAAATGCTTTTTCTGCATCTATTGAAATGATCACATGGTTTTTCTCCTTTATTTTGTTAATATGATGAATAACTCTGATTTTTCAATGCAAAACCAATCTTTCATTCTTGGGATAAATCTCACTTGGTTGTAATGTATTGTCCTCTTTATGTATTGCTGGATTAAACTTGCTAATATTTAAGTTTTTTATGTGTAAGTTAATGAAGGATATTGGTCTATGGTTTTCTTTTCTTGCAATGTCTTCTTCTGGTTTGGGTATTTTGTAATGCTGGCCTCATAAAATGATTTGAGAAGTGTTTCCCCTCCTCTACGTTCTGAAAGAGTTTGTATAGGATTGGTAATATTTCTTCTCTAAGTATTTCATAGTATCCACTAGTAAAGTCATATGGGCCTGGAGTTTTCTGTTCCATTTCTTTCATAGATTTAGGGATATTCAGGTTTTCCACTTCTTGAGTTAATTTTGGTGATTTGCGTCATTCAAGGAATTTGTCCATCTCATCTAAATTGGAAAATTTATTCACAAACATTTTTCCTAACATTCCCTGGTTACAGTTTTTATCAGTTTTATTGGTATTTTTAAAAGCTTTCAGTTTCATGGATTTTTCTCTATCATTTATTTGCTCATTTTACATTTTATTCATATCTGCTCTTATTGTCACTATTTCTTTCCTACTGCTTATTTAGGTTAAATTTAAAATTAAAATTTGCTCTTCTATGTCTGATTTTCTGCAATATCGTTCTGTTACTTAAGATAAGTTTCCTCTTGATTGCTACTTTACTTCTTTCGTTTCTGTGAGTTTTGTTTCATACATTTTGAAGCTTTGTTATTATGACTTCTTCATGAAATAACCCCTTTATCATTAGCAAATGTCCTCCATCCCATCATATTCCTTACCGTAAAGTCTACTCTGCCTGCTATTAATATAGCTACTCAAACTTTCTTATTATTCGAGTTTGCATGGTATGTCTTCATCCATCTTTTTACTGTTACCAGACCTATATCTTTATGTTTTAAAGTGGGTTTCTTATGCTCAGCATATGTTTTGTTTTGCCCTTTTATCCACTTTGACAATCTCTGCTTTTTAACTGAAGCATTTTTTTAACTGAAGACCATTTACCGTTAATGTAATTAGTGATATGGCTCAGTTTAAGTCTACCATCCTGTACTTTATTTTCTGTTTGTCCCATGTGTTCTATGTTCCTCGTTCTATCTTTTCATGACTTCTTTTAGATTGAATAAGTTTTAGAATTCCATTTTATCCTCACTATATCTTTTTTTAGATCTAGGGTTTCTAATAGGCATTTTACCTTATTATTGACTACCTTCAAATGGTTGAAAATCATTCCACATATCATGTAAGAACATTACAACAATATACTTCCAATTACCCACTCATGTCCTTTGTACTATTGTTGTCATACATTTTATTTCTACATTGGTTATAAACCGCACACTATGCTGTTAATATTTTTGCTTAAACAGTTTGCTATGATTGAAAGGGATATTAAAATGAGAAAAATTTATGTTTACCTACATAGTTTCCATTTCTGGAACTCGTCATTCATTCACATAAATCCAAAATTCCATCTGGTGTCATCCTTCCTTGAGGAGAACTGTCTTTCACATTTCTTGTAGTGCAGGTTTTCTGCTGACAATAATTCAGCTTTTATATGTCTGAAGAAAGTCTTTAATTTGCTTTCTTCTCTATTGTGGCAAAATTGACATACCATAAAATAAAGCATTTTAAAGTAAACAACTGAGTGGCCTTTAGTACATTCACATGTAAAAGGATTGCCAAGTACTGAGATGAAGAGCAGCTGGAGAAGTTAGCCTTGGATAGAAGGGCAGAGCCCTCTTCCTCCAAGGCAGGAAATAGGCAAGGATGTTTGCTGCTGTAGGTAGGTCTGAAGATGTGACATGGGACAAGATGCTGACGAAACTCTTGTCTGATGACCAGAGAGGAAAGGAGAGGGCATATCACAGAGAGTCTGCTAGCCCACGAGGAGGACTTTGGCTTTGACTCTGAGTGAGATGGGAGGCACTGAAAGGTTCAGCGCAAGAGAAGGAGGGACCTGATCTCATCACTGATCCTGAGTAGGGGTTTTGTTGGGTTGGTGATGGGACAATTTCAGGTAATTACAAGGTGCAGGGCCACTTACTCAGGTAGAAGTTTCTGAGGGACTGCCTTTGATATTCTCATAGGATGTGCATGTACTGTGACTTCAAGGTCTGTGCACCTCCTCTTGGTGTGAGGACTGATGGGGTTTCCATTCTGCTGGCCTCTCCTTTACTGCTGGTCTCCTGAGCCTAATTGCATTCTTCCAATTCTGAGTTTTATTCCCTTAAGCCTGAAACCAGTCTTCTTTGTCTCTTCCCTCACCACCACTCCCTTTTGTAAATTGAAACTCCAAACTTAAACCCTCATGTGACTCTGAGTTGGACTCCACAGGTGCAAGTTTCCATGCGTGGTTTCACGCAGCTGGGGAACGGGACACAGGAGTTGAGGCTTTGCTCTTCGCCAGCTTTCTGCTACTCTACATAGTGGCTGCGGCTGGGAACTTCTGACTCCACACTCCCATGTATTTCTTCCTGGCCAACCTCTCGCTGCTGGATACTGCCTATATCTCCACCACGGTGCCCCAGATTCTAGTACATCTGCTGGCACCAGTGTGGGTCATGCCCCGTCATGCTTGTCTCACCCAGATATTCTTTCTCCACTTCCTGGCTCCCTGGGAGTGCTGCCTGCGCACAGCCACGGCCTATGACCACTACGCAGCCATCTGCCAGCCACTGCGCTACCTAGTCCTCATGGGCCAAAGGACCCGGACAGGACTGGCTTCAATCTCCTGCCTGCTTGCTTTGACCAGTGCCCTCACCCACACCATCCTTGCGGCTCTCCTCAAGTTCTGTGGACCCCGCCTTATCACCCACTTCTCTTGTGACCTCCCTCCACTGCTCAAACTCTCTTGCTCCACCACGTGGGCCAATGAACTTGCCCTGCTCTTCTTCAGTTTTCTGGTGGCTCTGGCACCCTGTGCCCTGGTTGTGAGCTCCTATATACATGTTGTTGCTGCGGTTTTCAGGATTCACTCTGCCGAGGGCCGAAGAAAAGCCTTTTCTACCCGTGGTGCTCACATCACCATGGTCTGTATTTTCTACATCACTTCAGTCCTCCACTGCATCCTTCCCAGCTCTGCACACTCTGGCTTGAGAGACCGGGTTCTTTCTGTGCTGTATGTGGGCCTCGCTCCCATGCTCAACCCCATCGTCTATGGCACATGCAAAACAAGGCCACACTCTTCCACAGTGTGGCTGGCACATACCTGATGCTTTGGGACTTAATCCAACTACATAGGAGTCTGAAATTTAGTGTAGATGGTCCATCTGGTGAATCTTATTTTGTGTGCCAGGTTTTCCTCCATTCTAGCAAAGATCAAATATCTCTGTTGCATGTTTTTATTCTAAAACATTGTTTTTTGTATTGATAGAAATAAAACATTCTCACTGAATAAGTTGTGCAGTTACAGAAGTTCATAAAATGACAAAAAAAATACCCTTCACAATCTCACCACCTACAGAGAACCACTGTGAACATTTTCATGGTTTCCTTCAGGTGTATTTTTGAACTGCAAATGTATGTGCATGTGTATATAAAGCAGGGAAACAAAACTGGAATCACTGTGTATTTACAGTTCTGGACGCTTAGAGATTTTTTATTTTTTTCAACTACAATATATACTTATTATAAAATCATTTAGGTAGACATTTCTCCAAAGAAGACAGGCAGATGGCCAACAGGCACATGAAAAGATGCTCAATATCGCTAATTACTAGAGAAATGCAAATCAAAACTACAATGAGGTATCACCTCACAGTGGTCAGAATGGCCATCATTAAAAAGTCTACAAATAATAGGGACTTCCCCAGTGGCACAGTGGTTGAGAATTCGTCTGCCAATGCAGGGGACACAGGTTCAATCACTGGTCTGGAAAGATCCCACATGCCACAGAGCAACCAAGCCCGCGAACCACAACTACTGAGCCCGCGTGCCACAACTACTGAAGCCTGTGTGCCTAGAGCCCGTGCTCTGCAACAAGAGAAGCCACCGCAATAAGAAGCCCGCGCACTGCAAAGAAGAGTAGCCCCCGACAGCCGCAACTAGAGAAAGCCCGCGCACAGCAATGGAGACCCAACGCAGCAAAAAAAAAAAAAAAAAGTCTACATATAATAAATGCTGGAGAGGGTGTGGAGAAAAAGGAAGCCTCCTACAGTGCTGGTGGGCATGTAAATTGGTGCAGCCACTATGGAGAACAGTATGGAGGTTCCTTAAAAAACTAAAAATCGAACTACCATATGATCCAGCAATCCCACTCCTGGGCATATGTCCAGGCAAAACTATGATTCAATAAGACACATGCACCCTTATGTTCAGAGCAGCACTGTTCACAGTAGCCAAGACATGGAAACAACCTAAATGTCCATTGACAGATAAACAGATAAAGAAGATGTGGGAATATATACAATGGAATATTACTCACCCATAAAAAAATGAAACAGTGCCATTTGCAGCAACATGGAAGGACCTACAGANCTAGTAGGTCTGTGTCTTTATTCCCGTGTTACCCCTAGGTTCTTCATGACCATTTTTTGTTTCTTAGATTCCATATTTATGTGTTAGCATACTGTATTTGTTTTTCTCTTTCTGACTTACTTCACTCCGTATGACAGACTCTAGATCCATCCACCTCACTACAAATAACTCAGTTTCGTTTCTTGTTATGGCTGAGTAATATTCCATTGTATATATGTGCCACATCTTCTTTGGATTAATTTAATTAACTGAAATCTTCTGTGTTTGAGAAGGCTATAGTTCGAAACAAAGACTTATAAACTATCAGGGTGGTGGTAAAATCTATCTGGACACTTGATTGGCATTTCCTCTTAAATATTGAGATATGCATATCCTTTGACCCACCTTTGGGAATCTATCACAGAAAAACTCTTGTGTATGTGAACAAGGCAGCACTGGCCACAGTGTTATTTACAGCATTGTTTGTCATTGTGAAAAATCGGGAGAATGTACATCAACAGGGGAAACGTTCAGTAGATCACAGCAAGTCCGTCCTGGTGGAGTACCATACGGCAGTCAGAGCAAAGTAGATAGCTGGGAACTACTATGGAAAGAGATGAAAGCAAATTGCAGAATTCTGGGTATGGCATATTCCTGTTTTTGAATACATTCTGACCATATGACCATGTGGGGAAAGGCAGAGTCACCACCTGGAATGAGCCACCCCTGCTTTCAATGTCATCACTGGGCATTAGGGAAGAAAGCTTTCACTATTAAATTTTAGGTTTCCATGTTGTTTAAATATTTTCCTAAGGAATTATTAGTTTTGAAATGATTTTCCTTTGGAAAACAATAATCTGCTCCATTTTATTCCCTTTAAAACCACTTACTTTACAAACTTTAGTTCAGCAAAGGGCTGTGTGGAGAGTGTCTGTGTCTGCTGCTTCTCTCATTCCTGCTCTGGGGCAAGAGTTTAAACCACTAGGAAATGAATAGGTCGTACTTGAAGCCAGTGGTTTTCTCAAACAAAGACACAAGAAGGCAGGGGCGGGACTGTTTAAAACATTGCTGGGGGAACTTCCCTGTGGGCGCAGTGGTTAAGAATCCGCCTGCCAGTGCAGGGGACGCGGGTTCGAGGCCTGGTCTGGGAATATCCCACAGGCCGTGGAGCAGCTGGGCCCACGCACCACAACTACTGAGCCTGGGCTCTAGAACCTGCGAGCCACAACTACTGGGCCCACGCGCCACAACTACTAAAGCCTGTGCGCTTAGAGCCCATGCTCCTCAACAAGAGAAGCCACCAAAATGAGAAGCCTGCACACCGCAACGAAGAATAGCCCCTGACAGCCGCAACTAGAGAAAGCCCGCGCACATCAATGGAGACGCAACGCAGCAAAAGAAACAAAAGTCTACAAATAATAAATGCTGGAGAGGGTGTGGAGAAAAAGGAAGCCTCCTACACTGTTGGTGGGCATGTAAATTGGTACAGCCACTATGCAGAACAGTATGGAGGTTCCTTAAAAAACTAAAAATCGAACTACCATATGATCCAGCAATCCCACTCCTGGGCATATGTCCAGGCAAAACTATGATTCAATAAGATACATGCACCCCTATGTTCAGAGCAGCGCTGTTCACAGTAGCCAAGATATGGAAACAACCTAAATGCCCATTGACAGATAAACAGATAAAGAAGATGTGGGAATATATACAATGGAATATTACTCAGCCATAAAAAATGAAACAGCACCATTTGCAGCAACATGGAAGGACCTACAGATTAGCATACTAAGTGAAGTAACACAGAGAAAGA